TCAAGACATAAGGATTCTGGATGTCGTCGAAGAAACCCGAGCTCTGGAGCTTTTGCAGAGGGAGTAGCTGCAATGGTGATTCTGTTTATTGTCCATGTTACAGCCAATGTGCTTGGAGGCTGCACTTACATTCGCTCTAAGCAAGATTTCAAGAGAGCAACAGCGAACAAGATACTTGCAGTGGCTTTCCTTGTTCTCTCCTGGTAACGCAAAGATGAAAATCAAAATTTCGAATTTTGTGAAGAACCAATTTAACTTTGTTTTCTTTTGACATACCTTTTGTCTTAGGATCTTGTTTGCGGTCAGCTACGCAATGTTGATGTTAGGAACACTGGCCAACTCGAGATCGAATAGATTCTGCAACTTACCTAGTCGTTGGCTTTTTCTTGCCGGAGGCATATGTTGTCTAGGACATGGATTGGTGACTTCAGCATATTATGTTTCAGCCATTGCGGCTAACAAAGAAGACAAAGAGAACGTCCAACAGGAAAATCCAGCACAAAGAAGTCGCGCATAACCCGGCTTTCGACACAATATGTTTTAAGTGTTTGTATAAAGCTAACAACATAACACTCAAATTGCTTCACTTTTAGTTTAAACTTGCTTCCTTGATATTGATAAATTAGAAAATATTCCAAAATGGACTCTTAGAAAAGTATCAAAACAAAAAATAAACCAGAGTTCTAGGCAAAAGAGGCAGTCGAAATGCTTCAGCCATCTTTGATACCACCTCGTCAAGGAAACCGCTCCTCTGCGAATAAATCCCGAATTCCCTAAGCTGCATCGCTTCCCACTGCTCCTCGAATCTCTATTTATCCTCTGAGGCAAGCCTAGTCCATCCTTGTTGAGCATCCACACCAAAACGCGCTAGTGATTTCGCAAGAAAAGACTTCATAAACGTAGTATCCAATTCCGGCATACCAAGCGAAGACACTTCTTCTTTATTCGCCACCTCCTCGTCTTCACAGCTTTTACTATTAGGCAAAGAAGAAACCACCTCTTGCTTCACAAACTCCACTTTCTCCGACTTATTACTGATCTTCTTCGACAACCCGTTAGATTTCGGAACTGATTTAGGAGCTATCCCATTAGCTCCCCAAATAAACTTGGACAAACCAAACGCCTTTCGATCATGAGGCTTGGAAAATGCCGGTTCCTCTCCGTTCTTCCCTTTACCAAGACTCTTCCCTTCTCAAACTTTTTCTTTAAACTCCTAAGCTTCTCAGTGAACTGAATCTTAATTACTAACATCAAAGCTAATAGAATTCTTCACCAACAGATAAAACGCGTTTATGTCATCTAGAGGACTTAGACCATTATCGTTTTTGTAATCAATAATCCTCTGTAAAACCGCAATCTCATCTTCTTCACTCCAAACTCCATATCTAGAGGATTATTGATTACAAAACCGATAATGGGTAAGTCCTTTAGATGACATAAAGGCGTTTTATATGTTGGTGAAGAATTCTATTAGCTTTGATGTTAGTAAGATTCAGTTTACTGAGAAGCTTAGAAGTTTAAAGAAAAAGTTTGAGAAGGGAAGAACGGAGTGGAACCGACATTTTCCAAGCCTCATGATCGGATTCTTCCTCCGATCCAGATTCAGAATCGGAAACGTGATCGTGATCCTTCTCCGCGGCGTCGAGAACAGATTCAGGCTTAGAGGATTCATCTTCGGACGAAGAGATTTTATTCTCCTCCATGTCGTATTCTTCGTTGAAGAAGAAGCAATAGGCGGATCGTCAAAGAGATTGGACCATTTTCCAGACATGATTTGTTAGGGTTTTGTGATTTTTATGATTAAAGGTTTTAAAACTTGAAATTGAGAATTTCAATTCACCACTTTCTCGGTTTATATATTGGACAAAGAGTCTCTTTATCTCCACTAATTTGAGATTATAATTTCTATTTTCCATTAAGTCATTAAGTTCGTTTGGGTTCTTTCCTTTATAAATGGAAAACTAGTAAAATAGACATTTTTATATATTTTGTTTACTTTTTCATCCAATTATAAAAGGAAGATTACACCACTTAGGTAATTTAAAAAATACGTAATGATTTGATTGGTAATTTCAGAATAATAGGACGGTGGAATGATTAATGAAGGACCAATTATGTTAAAAAATTATATGATTAATATTCGGCCATTTCATAATTATGTAAATTTAATGCTTAAATGGTAACAAGTTTCGAGTCCTTTCACACTTTCTTGATAATTTCAAACATAGTTTATAATTCCAAAATCTAGACGTTTTAAATTAAAAAAAAATATCAGATTTATTTATTTACTTAGTATTAAAAAAATGCAATATTTAAGTTAATTCAATTTTTAACATTGCATATGAATATGATCATAAACTCATGAAAATAGTAAACAAGATGACAAAATCATAAAACGAAGAAAATGATTAAACAATAAAAAAAAAAACTGTCGAATGAGGAAATTTTAAATGTGATCATTAAAATCACCGCATAATGGAATGACTAAACAAATCGTTATTTTTTTGTTTTTTAACACTGTAAAACAATTTTATTATAACCGAAAACCGGTATGAAGAGAATAAAAAGTTTCAAATAAAACACCAATATGTGTTATACAATGTGAGGAACAATGTTTTAAGTTGTAGAATTATGGATAATTCCACACTTTAAGATGATAAACAATATCATCCTCTTGACATTCGAAACTGGTTATTATATACTCTCATATCCTATAGCAAATTCGGCCTCAATGAGAATATGAAACTGCAATGGCCAAGCAACATACGACAAAAGCATCTTCTTAGGCTTGTAATTGAAAGAACAAGACTCATCAAGTTCTTCACTTTTCTTACGGTAAATGCAATATAAAAAATACGACTCGTGAACATCCTCAATAGAAGCATTGAACAGAGCATATTTCAATCATATCATATGAGCAGAGAGAAAAAAACAAAACCACCTAGAACCAATTAACACCAAACGCATACAAACCCAGCAAATGATCGAAACTGGTGAGGAACCTTAAAGACCAACACCATAACCATGGAACCATAACATCAAAGACACCAACTAGAACCACAAGCAGAAGGATATATCTGCTTCAAACATAGCTAAAACTCTATCACACCAAAACGACGAGAGGAGAAACCACATCCTCCGGCAAGAAGACGTGTTGTAACCAACGGCGAGGACCAAAACCATTTGCAAATCTGGATCTGTTAATCGAGAGGGATGGCTTTGTTGCCGATGCAACACCGTTGGCCTGAAAAGGCTCGGACCCTCCATTCCGGCTAAGAGACCACCAACAAGGCAACTGAGATCCACCGGCCACCCCACGAGTTTTACTTCCGACAAAAACAATCGCGGTGCTGAAGGAGCCACCGCCCACCGGCCAAAACAAAGGTTAGCCGCGACCGCTTCTGAGAACTACGGTTTTATCTGTTGGAGAGATTGAAAAAAAAAAATCATTATTTTAGGAAGACATTATTCATCC